GATAAACTCACGTGGGAGCTTTCGGATGGCAATGGCCAACACACCTGCGAAATGGTTTACATTGTGGTTGTTAGGTAAGAGGTGGTTTAACAATAGTTAGAATTATGTAGGTCGAATGTTGAAACCGTAAGTACTTAGGCGTCTGTTGTCTTTGGCATAGTCAAATAACATGCGAAAAGGTGTGGTGTCACTTTCGGCAAGCATCGGGAAGTCACAGTGTTCTGTTCATTGGTGTCTTGAATCATAGTTCTCCTATTCAGCGTCCAAATGTAGTTATAAGTAGAATCTGGAAGCGAGTAAAAGTCTTCAACAGGTTGGACCCAAGCATTGGACACCAGATATGTGGAATAAAGTTGTAGCCTTCCGTCAATAGCTTTGATTTCATTTTCATAAACTAACGCCTTGACCTTGTTCCTATGGACAATCAAATATAAGTATATATGAATCAATAAGGTTTCCAAATACAGGGTGTAGCAGTAACCAAGAGACAGATAGAAAATTAATTTGAAGTGTGTGAAAAAAGGACTTATTCTAACATGTTCATCTTGCAACACTAAGGATTTGTATGTTCTTGAGCTCCGTGTTGATTCTCGCATGTTGTTTTTTCTGTGACGGTCACTTTGCATGTCCATTGATTGATTTGCGGTGTGATATCAGGTATTAACATATGATTAGCCATGATTCAATATGACCTATATGACAACAAAATGTTGGTTATGAAGAATGAGAATGGATGACATAAGAGACAACACAGGAAAGGTTTGGTTAATCACAATTTCATAGAACAAAACATTAAGTGTGTCAGGCAGTTTACTCCAATGAAAGAAATAATAGGGAAAAAATTATGCATATTAAGAACGTATGTACTGAAATCACTAATTCGCATATGTACTGAAATTTTAACCTTTGTTGAGATGCAAAAATAATGTGAAATCGTTGGGCAAATAAGAAGTTGAACAATAGTGATAATAATGTAGAGAAGATATAGAAATGAATGCATTGTGAAGTTGGATGCCATTGTGAACTATTATCATGAAAAACAATTTTGAATCTCGAAAGGAGTAAAGGAGAAAAATATTTTTTTTACATTAGGAAGTAGAATGTATCAACTATTATCATGTTCAAAGCAATTCATTGAATATTCAAATAGATGAAAAATGCTATAAATAATAGTAACGACTGAATATATTTAGGCTCTTACGTGGGCATTATGTGCTCCAGTATTTCTGGGTAGACTATATTGTCAGTCAAATTGGTGAGCTTGTCTTTGTTAAACTCATCTTCTACAACTATTTTGATGGACTGTCCATTTTTTGCACGTGACATTGCCACATAAAGTTGTCCATGTGTGAATACGGGTGTTTTCAAGTAAATCCCTACGAAATCCAAGGTCTGACCTTGTGATTTGTTAATTGTCATTGCAAAGCATAGTCTTATAGGAAATTGAGTTCTTTTGAATGGATAGGGACAGTTGGCATCTTTTGATGTTTCTACAGGTATCCTTGGGATGAACACATGCTTACCCTTGTGTTCACCAAGGGCAATTGTGCAACTGATGACATGATCTCTAAATGACTCACAAACTAAACGAGCGCTGTTACATAAACCTTCACACGGATTTAAATTTCTCAACAAAATGATAGGGCAGTTTTTCTTCAAGACCAATGTGTGAGGAGGTAGGCCAGATGGATTTAATGTATGCAAATAATCTTGACAGTGTGAATGTTTAGAATCCAATGGCTCATCATGACTTACATAAGTTCTTGCTTCATGGGGAAAGGCTTGAATTATAAGAGAATTTATCTCATCGACGTACTCATTTTTGTTGTGAATACACCTACCCATTAGCGAGTAAGGATCATGTAAAAATGAGCTTAAATCTGGAAACACAAGTTTGATTAAAGAAGAGAGAGCTGAAGTGTCATCATTGGATGAAACAAGAAAGGAGGATGGAAGCCCGACTTTGTTTTTATACACTTTTACTTCTGTTGCATTTCCAATCTTCATCAAATACGAGGAGAAGGCGAGATCTTCGTGGGCTCTCATAGTTTGTGCTAGTGTGAACCATCTAATATGAGGCCAAATTACGGGAGATCTGACTAAAGAAGCATCAATGAAATCTTCCTTTTTGCCACCTTTAATTACAGGTAGTTTTGCCTTGAATCGCCTACACAGACAATTACTTTACCTCCAAATAGTTCTTGTGAATCCATGAGGTCTTTCAAGGTCACGTCTAGGCTTTCCATTATTTTGCAATTAACCATCAATATCTCATCCCATATGATGAGCCTTACCTCTTTTTTAGCAATTGAGCTTCTGCAGTTTGTTTCCCGATATTGCAAACATAGTTGGGTTCAGTATCAAGAGGTAACTTAAACCTCGAATGAGTTGTACGTCCCCCAGGCAAGTTTGAAGCAGCAATGCCAGATGTGGCGGTGGCCAGGGCAATCCATTTAGGAGATCTAACAGTTGCCAACAGACATCTGTACAGGAAAATTTTTCTAGTACCTCCAGGATCATCAATAAAGAAAACTAATCTGATTCTTGTTAAAACATTGTGCATGACTGCATCAATGCTTGCTTTTGTTCGTGATTCAACTGTTGAATAGAGAGAACATCCATGTTTGAAACCTGTAAGTTGTATTCAGCTGAAACTTCTTCTCGACTTATTTTCTCTACATGTGTGATGCATATATCAAAATCAACAAGATTGTAATCTTTAATTTGTTTTCCCATTTTTTTCCAAAATGTTTGAAGCGCAACTGATTCAACGTTTATTGTGTCATTTGTATGCACTCATGTAAGATCCTCATACATATATGATTTATATGAGTTCCATAACTCTCCAGGGTTAGCAATATTATTAAAAGTGAGAAGTGTGGCAAAGAGCGAGATGTCTCAAACTTGATGGCATCTGAAATAGAACAGCCTCTTTAAGGCATTCTTGAACCATAAAATCTCCTGAGAGAAATCCTCTTGACTCTGCAGCCTCACAAAATGTTGCATACTTGAAATCACCGACAGTTTTTAAGTCATTGAAAGAACAAGGACCTCAAATATTAATCAACAGCAAACGCAAGTAATAACGATCTCCTTCGGTGGGGTTAACACTTACTAATCGGCCTACTACCTCTCCCCTTTTCCTTGGAGTCCACATTTTGCGTTTGGGAGACCATACAAAATACCCCGGAAATTCAATGTAAAGCAATTTTAGGTTATTGGTTGCCACATTCTCCTTGTTCATTTTGAAATTTTTTGTCAACATTGTATGACCAGTGACATTGTTAGTCAAAATTCTAGTGATTTTTTCGTGGCCATAGAAGTTAACATATTCAAAATTTTCTAAGTGAACTTGGAGATGAACCACATATGGTTTCATTTTAGCAATTGCAAACCCAAAAACACGCCAAGCGGCCTCAGGTGGCGAAATCCAACGTGTGTTCTGAAACTCTTTTATTTCATCTACTTCTTCAGTATTAAAGGAGAGTGCAAAGCTAACCCTATCATGCCCTTTATATATATATATATATATATATATATATATTATATTATAAATATATTTAATAGACTGAATGTTAGCACATAATTCTACATTAATGTGGCAATCAAACTTCAATAATAATCTTGGATTGTAAGGTACAACTCATCTATTGTCGAGTTTAAACCCCCTGACATTGACACTAACTGAATCGTCACGACAACGGTACAAAGGAAAGGAGCCAGAATCAAACTCAGTTGTGTTAATGAATTGTTTAGGAAACTGACTTTTACATGTAGGATATTGTTGACCTTTTTTTAATCATGCACGAGCATTTGATATTCATGGAGCCGCATGGACCGCATGCATATGTGTTTTTTGACCAATTCATATAAGCGGGGTGTTTTACATTGATCCGGTATTTCAGCAGATATAAATTGGTCGCACATAGATGGAGATGTGATGGTGGATGTTTTTTTCAAAACAATAAGAAAATGTGCATGTGGAAGGCCTCTCTTTTGAAATTCAATTACATATGTATAAGCCGCAACATCACCAAAATATTTTTTTTGGATAACATCACGTTTCAGTTCCTCCAAACGTGCACGGAAGACCCTTGCTACAAGATCTGGTCGGTTTTGCACTTCATCCATAGAGGCTAATAGGTCTTTTATTTCTGGCCAGTTAGGATTACAAGTTATCGTTAAGAAAATATCGGGTTTACCGTATCTTTGAACCAATGCCATCGCATCCATATATCTCTTTCGCATGTCTCGAGGTCCCCCAATAAAAGAGACAGGTAATATACCCGTCGACCAACAGACTGCCCGTTCGTAATACCCATATTGAAGCTGTCAACCAAACCTTGATATGATTCAGAACGACTTTCACTTTGTTTTTTCCTAAAATAATCCAAGCGTTGAGTTTCAATCTTCACATAAACATCAACAATAAATTGCTGCAATAACCTGCCAGTATGCAGTAAAAAACTGCGATCTGAATCACGGATCTGAAACTTGTAAGCGTAATATACTAATATTCCCGACACGAAACTGTCTTCTTATTCTTTCCCTCATGGAATGCTTGCTCTTCTGCATCAATGATGTTCTCTACAGAAGTGAGCTCAGTACCACGAGTGCACATGAGATGACTTTGAGAACCAGGTCTACCATGCCCCCGTTGCAAAACTCTCTCAACTCTCTACTATCTGAATGATGTGTTATCAATTTAAGCTTATTTCTTCCAAACAAAAAACTTTTAGATTTTAAAATAATTTCTGAATATGTAAATTTTAATTATTAAAAAAGAATTAACTATCAATAAAGAGAATTTAACAATATTTAATGATAAAAATGTTCGCTTTACAAAACAATTTGGATTGAAGATGTTTTTACTTGGAGTGTTTTCAGTCTCAAACCAGACTTAAACATATCATATCAGACCAAACTTAATTAGATCAGACCTGACTTCCATAGTTTTATAATAGAGATCAAACTATTATATCAATTCTGTTCAGATCAGACTTAAACAAATTAGATTTAAATAAACCACATCACGACGCAAACAAATTTTAGTTCTTGTAAAGACATCTGATACAAAATTAGTACGCTGTCGTTACATCTTAAACCTCTCGAAAACTCTCGATTCTCCCCTCTTTTGGAAGGCCTTATCGTTCACACTGTAGCTCCGCTTGTGCAGACTCCACTCCAAGGAGCTTCATTTCCTTTTGTTAACGACAGGAGATAGTTGAATTCGAGTTGCAGGTGGGTTTATACGTTTCAATCAATATCCTTTTGCAGAATTACAAACCCCTTTGTCTGATTATTGAGTTTGGATGGCAAAGTTTTTCTCTTTTAGCTTCTGCACAAGAGGAGTTTGTATATTGTTATCAATTCTTTTAGTTTTAATTTTGATTCATAAGAACTCTTTAGCGCTGAATTGAGAACCTCGTGTTACAAAAAGATTTTACTCCTATCTTTTGTCAATGTATTTTGATAACTGAACTTGTTCACTTCTTTTATGTATACCCTAGTAAATTGATGGCAGTCATACCTTTGGGAAGCACATCCGTGGCCCGGTATGGAGTTCAACCTCAGCTTTTTCCAAGATCCTCCATAATTGCCAACTCATCAGTATCAGAACTTCGGTGAGTACTTCTGCTAATTGCATTCTTAAAAGTGAAGTAGTGCATATTATTGGCGACCAATTGAGCCTGCCCCTTGATTGGGCATATAAAAACCCAATCTTTCTTGTCATAATTGAGTCTGCCCCAAGACCAAACTTTCATTCTAGGGTTCTTGTTCCAAAGGTGTCTCTCACTCATATTCCGAAAGCATTTGATCGAAATTTCATAGCCTTAATAACTCATATTTTGTGCTCAGGTAGTGAAAAATGAAAAGTGACACCATAAACATTTCTGGTGTAGTGATAGTTCTGTTATCTTAAGCTATTACTTGATTTTCATCATGTGACCGTGAAATAAATTAATAAAAAAGATTTATAATTGCCTGCCTATACCTAAAGCTGTTTTGTTGTGGGAAAAATAATACGGAGTAATAAAATTAGTGCATTATGTTGTGCTCTCGTGTGAGTACTTTGAAATTTTACATTAACTTGTACGAGTGTACAGTATATTCTCTAGTTGGTCCTTTGTCTTGCATTCTCGTACCTGTGCGATAAGATAATATTTTCTAATATCATTATAAGCATCGGTCAATTCGATAAACTTCACCATTTACTTAGATGTTTACAAGAGGAACAGTTTGGCTTAAACTGATGACCTAGCTTTTGAGTGTTGAGTTCTGGTATTCTGCTAATTGTTGTCCATTAGCTGATATATAGTTCATAAGTAGTTACTGATTTTGTAGGTACCATGCTGAGTATTCTAAGGGGGTTGATTCCTTTGTTATTCTTCTAACCCTTAATGTTTCTATCACAGGGTCCTGAGCTAGAATATGTTAGAGGAATATAATAGGCAGGAAAAGTAAAGTAAAATTAGAAGGAAAAAAACTTGGGGGACTTGAAAGATAGATGTAAACTCAATAAATCTGTTTTACATATTATTTTAAACAGTTTATTAATTTATTGATTTCTATTATAAAAATAGCAAGAAATCTAAATGTATGTAAACTTATTTAAATAATAATCAGGTAATAATTTTTCTAATAGTTGTTAACCTTGTGGTATTCTAAGCAGCTTCCCAAGTAAGGTACGAGCTTTGGCACTTCCGAGTTCAAGATTTTTTTGTCAAGAGTCTATGAATGAGCTTTTGAGTTCACTGTCATACAAGAATCCATGCCAACGAAGAGGGAATCGCCTCATTGTTAGAGCGAATAAGGTAAGATGCAATGATGTATTTGCTATTACTAAGTTATAGTTAATGCTGCAATATAAAGTTTTATATTGACTATTTGAAGTGCAGAAATACATATACTCCCTCTATTTATTATTACATCTCCACTAGGCTTTTCAAGAAGTTTAAGAGTAAAACATAGTAGTGTAGAAAAAGTAACAAAAGTAGGAAAGGAAAGATGAAATAAGGGTATTTATGTCTGTTGAGTCTATAAGCACATGTAATTGACAAAAGAAAGACCCATGAAAGGAAAGTGGAGCAAGAGAAAAATAATCCTAGGGCGTACATTGTTGAAAATAATCTTTCCATCATTTGCAATGGAGCCAAAGATTCACTGTTTGTTGGCTTGAGAATATGATGGAATAAAGCAAAGTGGCTCACTAAACTGTATGCGCTTCTTTGTTATGAAGCAGCAGTCAGTCCATGCAATTTTCGACTCGATTTTCACTATGGGTCATCCGGAAACAGTCTGTGCTTTAGAGGGGTAAAACTGCGTAAATCCGACCCCCTTACCCCACCGTAGGCGGGAGCCTTTGCGGCACTGGGGTTATGATGATGATGAAAATTGATGATGATGGTGTACATTGTTGAATTCTTGGTTGACTATATTCTACTTTTGCAGGATTTCTATTCTGTTCTTGGTGTATCAAAAAATGCCAGCAAATCAGATATTAAAAGTGGTAATGTAAAGATGAACAATCTGCATTATCTTCCGTGCTTTATTATAGTGCCTCATTAGATTCTCACTTGACACTTCTTGACTGCATCATATCGCCTTTCCTAGTATGTGATGCATATTAATTTACCTAGTGTTGGTAAAAGTATCACATCATACTAGGAAATGTCAAAAAGGAGTTAGTAGTCTACCTTATGTGGGTAAACTGATCTAATTATGTGCAGTAATTTGCGCATTGCTAGAAAAGAATAATCAAAGTCATATTCTAATAACTCTTTTCATGCTCAGCTTATCGAAAGCTTGCAAGGAACTGCCATCCTGATGTGAACAAGTAAGTAGATATACTGCAAAGCTAAAGTTTAGTTTTTGTTCATGTGGCCTTTCTGGACAGTCTTCTGGGATAAGTGGGTAAGTGTTTGGTACAAAGTGGAAAGTGGAAAATCTTCTAAAATAACCTTAAATAGGAAAAGGGGTATATGACTGATTCACATTCAGAATATGATTTACTCTCTTTTTCCTTGGTTGCTAATTTGAATTATTTCTCTCTTCTACAGAGAACCCGGAGCTGAACAGAAGTTTAAGGAGATAAGCAATGCTTATGAGGTAACATTATTTTAGGCTTGAATGAATGTAAAATTTTGTTCCAGGTGAATGAATGTTGTGCTCTGACCAATTCCTACCTTAAATGGGAAACTTGTGCTACAGGTCTTGTCAGATGATGAGAAACGTTCCATATATGACAGATATGGGGAGGCTGGGCTAAAGGGTTCTGGCATGGGTACAGGGGTAAGGTTCTTTCCATGATATGGTTGGATTCTGGAAGTGATAGGAAAAGAATAAAGTGAAATTGCCTTAAGTAGAAGTAAACACAATGTAATATTCCAAACGAGTACTATATTTTCCCTCCAATTAGGAGTAATCACTGTCATGCTTAGAATATACTCCCAATTATGGTATTAATACCCTGATAATGCCAAAATATGCCAATATGATTTCAGTATTATGCGGTAATTTACTCCTATTTAGGGAAAATGTAATCCTCATAATTTGAAGAGAAAAGGGGCAAATAAGCCCACGTACTAACCAAAAAAGGTCTAATAAGCCCTTATATAGGAGGAGGCTCTGTCCGGCCGTCGCCATTTGGGGCGGTTCCCGGTAGAATTTTTTGATGAAATATTTTGAGCATCTTATTCATTAAGTCTAGTTTATGCATACCAAATTTCAGCTAAAACTTCAATCGGGAAGGCATTCAAATGAATTCTTGAAGATAAATGCGCAGTTAAAAGCGCAGTTAACTTCAAGAATTTATTTGAATGCCTTCCCGATTGAAGTTTTAGCTGAAATTTGGTATGCGTAAACTAGACTTAATGAATACGATTCTAAAAAAACTTCATCAAAAAATTCCACCGGGAACTGCCCCAAATGGCGACGGCCGGACAGAGCCTCCTATATAAGGGCTTATTTGACCTTTTTTGGTTAGTACATGAGCTTATTTGCCCCTTTTCCCTAATTTGAAATATCACATTGTTTTTACTCCTATTTCGTGAAATCAAGAAAACCATGCCAAGCAATGCTATTTTCTTATGTTTGGTTTTAACTTGTATGGTACAATGAGAAAAAAATTGAATGTAATAAAGTATCTAAAATAATTTTATTGAGATTAATCAATCTTTTAATCCCCCTTCCCACATTTTCTTTCCTCTATATTGGCTTCCTCTTTTCCCTGAAATATTTTCTCGGCTCTTTTAATATACTAATGTAGTAAAAGTATAAGATTTTGCCCCTTAAGCTAGAACAGTATAACATATATTATTTGTTTATATTATTTTTTGGACAGGATTTCAGCAATCCGTTTGATTTATTCGACTCGCTATTTGATAGCCTTGGTGGTGGCATGGGTGGCATGGGGGGAAGGGGGTCAAGAAACAGAGCCACTGAAGGAGAAGATCAACTCCACAACCTTGTTTTAAATTTTAAAGAAGCTGTATTTGGGGTTGAGAAAGATATTGAGATAACCAGGCTTGAAAGCTGCAACACATGTGATGGATCTGGTGCAAAGCCTGGGACAAAACCGTCAAACTGCAGCACATGTGGCGGGCAAGGGCAAGTCGTGTCGTCTACTCAGACACCAATGGGTGTGTTCCAGCGGGTGATGACCTGTTCCTCTTGTAATGGCATGGGAGAGATCTCCACGCCCTGTAACACATGTGGTGGTGATGGAAGGGTCAGAAAGTCAAAGCGCATAAGCCTGAAAGTTCCGCCTGGAGTAGATTCCGGTAGCCGTCTGAGGGTTCGGTCTGAGGGCAATGCGGGAAGGAGGGGTGGGCCCCGTGGGGATCTTTTTGTGGTCATAGATGTTCTACCAGACCCCGTACTCAAAAGGGATGACACCAATATCCTGTACACTTGCAAGCTATCTTATGTGGAGGCTATTTTGGGAACTACAACAAAGGTTCCAACGGTTGACGGGGAGGTAGACTTGAAGGTTCCAGCTGGGACCCAGCCTGGAACAACATTGGTCATGGCCAAAAAAGGCGTGCCTCTTTTGGGGAAATCCAACATGAGGGGGGACCAGCTGGTGCGGGTGCAGGTTGAGATCCCGAAAAGGTTGAGTAGTGATGAGAGAAAGCTTATTGAAGAACTTGCCTCTTTGAGCAAGGGAAAAACTCCAACTAATAGCAGGAGGTAGTTTAAGTTAAATGTGATACCCCTTAACTCTGTTCTGATTGTGCTTCTAAATTATTCCTCAGTCTTCTGCACACAGCATCAAGTTGTTGTAGTCAAATTTTGACTGTTGGATTGTAGCCTGTGGATCTACGATATTTGCTTTTGGATCATACGGTAATGTCTTATTTGGTTTTGGAAACCAAAACTGCCACCATTTGTTCTTCCATAAGATTTTTAAAATGGTAAACTGAAAATTAATTTCTCATGACTAAAGACATGATATGCACTGTGCTGGAGGTCGATGTGTGCATTAGGTTGTTTGCATTGTAAGCTATTATTGGAAGCTAGATTGTGGATGTTAAAACTGCAAGTGTTTGCACAATCATTTATGCACATGCTAAAAAATACTTCGTATTAAATAATGATATAACATAAGTAGTGTATAACATATATTGAGGTTCTAGTTCAGTTATATGTAAGATTGTAAGGTATGACAATGAAATCGATATCAATAATCCATACTTTTATACATTTTACAAAATTAATCCCTACTTGAAAAGTTCACAACAATAATCTCAATTAGTTAACTATTTTACAAAAATAAACCGAGTGCTAATTTTGTTGAGTTTTCCGTTATTTTTTTTTTAATTTTAAATTTAAATATATTGAAGCAAATATATATATAGACATTGACAATACACTACAAAAAACACGGGATTGACGGAGATTTTGGCAGGGATTTGGCATGGATTTTGGCAGGGATTTGGCATGGATTTTGGCAGGGATATGTCAAATCCGTGCCAAAAACATTTTGGCACGAGCTATTTGACACGAAAAATCGGTAAGTCCGTGCCAAATTCTGTGTCAATCCCGTATTTTTTTTGTAGGGATATTATATTTGAGTTTACTATTGTTTCTACTAAAAATTTAATTTAATACTCCGTATTCAATATCTTTTATAAAACATAATAGGAATTTTTGCACACCACGTGTACATACTCTTCAAATTCATTATTCTCTTTCATTCCATATCCATCTTTTTATTTAGGGGAAGCTGTCAAATAAGTCCTCGAACTTTCATAAAAAGGTCAATTAAGTCCTTCTATAAGAGGTTCTGTCCGGCCGTCGCGATTTGGGGCAGTTCCCGGTGGAATTTTTTGATGAATTTTTTTGAGCATCTTATTCATCAAGTCTAGTTTACTCATACCAAATTTCAGCTAAAAATTCAATCGGGAACACATTCAAATTAATTCTTGAAGATAACTGCGCATTTTTGTTTTCTCGAATTAATTTGAATGCGCTCCCGATTAAATTTTTAGCTGAAATTTGGTATGAGTAAACTAGACTTGATGAATAAGATGCTCAAAAAATTTCATCAAAAAATTTCACCGGAAACCGCCCCAAATCGCGACGACCGGACAAAGTCTCCTATAGAAGGACTTAATTGACTTTTTTATGAAAGTTCGAGGACCTATTTGACAGTTTTCCCTTTTATTTATATTCATTTTTGTTATTCATTATAATTGAGATTTCAAAGTAGTTTTAGTCATACATTAAATATTAATAAAAATTATGTAAGTATTTAATATAGATATTTCTATTATATATTATGAAAAATATTAAATATTAAATTAAGTTTATCGTAGAAAAAGATTGAAATCAAATATAATATTATTAATTTTTAAACATATTTTTGCATTGATATATTTAAAATTAAAAAAAATAACGGAAAAGTTAAGCCGTTAGCACCCATATTATTTTTCTGAATCAGTTAATTAGTAGGGATTATTTTTGTGAAATTTACGAGTAGGGATTATTTTTGTAAAATGTGTAAAAGTAGGGATTATAGGTGTCAATTTCGCCATTCTATTATTTCAAACTTACAAAGTAATGTATGCATGCAAATATACATTATTGTTTTTATACAATATTAGAAAACAAGGTTTGTATTATTGTATATTCTATTACTCCGTATTACAAACTTAGTAATGAATATTCTATTATTACAAATTTACAAAGAACAACTTATTTATATTATAATACATAATGCTTACATGCAGAGGCGGACCCAGTAAGGGTCCCACGGGGTCCCGGGACCCCGTGAAAAAAATACCTATACATATTATATATATACTACCTCTGTAACTTAAAAACCTTCTCATTTCAAAAGTATGTAGATTAAGAATAGTGAAAGAGGATATGAATTATTGAGGGTATGATAGGAAGATAGTTGAATAATGTGATGGAATGTAGGATAAATCCAAAAAAAGTAGTTGTAATAGTGTATTATTTTTAGAATTATTGAGGGTATGATGGGAATATTTAGAAGTGGGAAGATTTTTTTTGTTACGAACGAAAAAGGAAAGTGAGAAGATTTTTTTGTTACGGACGAAAAAGAAAAGTGAGAAGATTTTTTTGTTACGGAGGGAGTATTATATAAAATTAATTAGTAAGTGTATATATATCTACATACAAAACGACATATGAACCAGAAGAATGTAGTAGGGGAATGGGAGCACATGTGGGTTTTAGGTTTCTATGTTGCGAGAGGAACAATGTTCGAATCTCCTTGGGCTACTTTTTTGCTTTCCAAAACTATTTTAATTAAATAGACCAAAACTACATCATTTTGGCCTATTTTAATTAAATAGACCAAAACTATTAGTAATGATTCTATTATAGAATATTTCCAATAAGAAATCATTACAAAAATATGACTAATTACTAGAGTAGTAATGAAATCATAGTAATTCATGTTCAAGTTTTGAACTTAAGTTACCACAACACTACGTTGTAGTAATGAATAGTCATATTTATGTAAATAAGTTTTATTTTAGTAATATTCTTGTAAAAAACCCTTCCAACAAACCTTTTTTCGTTTTACAAAACTATTTTAATTAAATAGATCAAAACTAGGTCGTTTTGGCCTATTTTAATTAAATAGACCAAAACTATTAGTGATGATTCTATTATAGAATATTTCCAACAAATGAAGCTTAGGAGGGTACATGAGTACATCTGTAGAATTGTTGAATGATTTTTATATGTAATTTTTTGCTTTATAATACCTTAATGTTTTGATGGTGTACGTTAACTATGAAGTGTTATGCTTCTTTAATATTTTTTTCATTAGTTTTATATTAATTAGAGATTAGAGATATAAAAGGGTAGGGACCCCGTGACTCCGACTTTCTGGGTCCGCCATTGCTTACATGTATTATGTAGTATACGTAGTATTAGCATTAGTGCATTACTATCTCCGTCACCGCGTAAGCTTTTCATTGAAACATGACACGGTTTTTTAGAAGAATTAAATGCAGTTATTCGATTTTGAGAAGTAATTTTGATGGGTTTATATAACATGACGTTATTGATTATAGTTGACTTGTGATATTAGAGACTTAGAGTGTTAATTATTTTATAAAGTAGATATAGGAAACTTTAGTTGGGATGTTTATAAGAGACATGTGAGAAGTGTAAACTTGGGCGGGAGTATAATGTCTAGGCTAAAGGATCAAATAGGTACATGAACTAACTTAAAGTGTTCAAATTAGCCCCTTATATATGAGGTTCTGCCCGGCCGTCGCCAATTGGGGCAGTTCCTGGTGGAATTTTTTGATTAAATTTTTTTAGCATCTTCTTCATTAAGTCTAGTTTACCCATACCAAATTTCAGCTAAAAATTCAATCGGGAAGGAAGTCAAATGATTTTTTGAAGATAACTGCGCAGTTAAACAGCGCAATACATTTCGGAAAATCATTTGACTACCTTCTCGGTTGAATTTTTAGTTGAAATTTGGTATGAGTAAACTAGACTTAATGAAGAAGATGCTCAAAAAATTTCATCAAAAAATTCAACCGGAAACCTTCCCAATTGGCGATGGCCGGGCTGAACCTCCTATATAAGAGACTAATTGAACATTTTATGTTAGTTCATGTACCTATTTGACCTTTAGCCTAATTTCTAATTATTCGGAGTATTGGCTATTGTACTGTATAATTATACTGTCAGTTTTTAAATGTTTTTCGCTAAAAGAGATTCGTATTGTCCAAAATTGGTATAGGAACCAGGTAGAGGGTTGGGGAAACCAGAACCGACTCAACTCCACCTTAACTGGGATGATGTGAATGAAATTAACATGCACAACCTTCAAAGTTCAAACTACACTTCTATAAGTGACGGACATTGGCCATACATTAAGCTAATCCTTTGAATATTATATACTCCCTCCGGTTTTTATTAAACTTCACACTTTCCTTTTTAGGACGGTCTAAAATAAACTTCACACTTCCTTATTTCCTTTTTTTGCAAAGAAATATACATCAAAATAGTGTCAAACAGTGTCAAACAGTGTCAAACAGTGTCTCAACAGTGCCAAACAGTGTCTCAACAGTGCCAAACAGTGTCTCAACAGTGCCAAACAGTGTCAAACAGTGTCTCAACAGTGTACTCTACAGTAAAGTCAAATTTCTTTCCTTATTTTGTGTGAAGTCAAAGTGTGAAGTTTAATAAAAACCGGAGGGAGTACTACATTAGTACAAATTAGTTTACATTTTTTACACCATGATTTTGAACCTAGTCACTAGACAATCATTGTTTGCAAATTTGGTCATACTTATCCTTACAATCTTCCCTTTGATGTCTTCTGACACTTTATTCTTTGATGTCGGGGTTGAGGGATTCTTCAAAATCTTGCTTGTAACCCTTGCCTTCCAGAAGATACCCTTGATCAGCTTGAGTGAAGTCCGATGACGACTCTAGAATGAATGTTCTTGAATAGTTTCAGGTGCACACAAAATTCATCTCTAGTACTTGAATATCCGACTTTGGTCCTCCAGAATGTAGCCTTTTAGACTATTTGATTTGAAAGATCTTGAGGAACAATTGTCGGTGGCACAACGGAAAATGATGATTGACTTGTGAGTATATGCTGACTATTTGATTTGAAGCTGATTGCACAGTTGTGAGTTGTAGAGTGAAGAGAGCCTTCAATGTTTGTGGTGGAGGAGAGAAGTGTTCGAGAATGATTTTTGAGAATAAACATTACACGGACCACTCTCCCCCTCATGATGATTTGATGTATCGGGACATCATGCTTGTATTCATCCTTTTATTCTGGGTAACAAAGAAAAAAACAAAAACAAAAGAAAAGATAAAAACCGGAGACACAATGTGCACGAATCTCATAAAGCTAAGGAGCATCTATGATCTTTGAGGTAATCTATTACACACTATGAAACACGGATGCTTTACTAGAGTACCGTATCAGCGTATCGGAAATGTTCCTGTATCAGGAAC